ATATAATATTATTTAATTTTACCTCTTTTTAGTATGGCTTAAATAAAAGAAAAGAGTCGATAAGAAGTAAATAAAAAGTATAAAAAATAAAAGGCATAAATAAAAATAAAAATTAAACCACTTTTTCTTAAATTCTAGGTAAGAGGAAATAGTGGATTGACAAGTAAGTAAAAAAAAAAAAGAAAGATGAAGAGCATAAATGGATACAAATAAACCGCTTTTTCTTAAATTTTAAGTAAGAGAAAAGAGTAGATAACAAGTAAGTAAAACGTACAAAGGTGAAGGGCATAAATGGAAACAAAAATTAAACCGTTTTTTCTTAAATTGCAAGTAAGAGGAAAGCGTAGACAAAAAGTAAGTAAAAAGTACAAACGGTGAAAGGCATAAATGAAAACAAAATTTAACTGTTTTTTTTTTAAGCTCAAAATAAGAGAAAAGCGTAAGTAATAAGTAAGTGAAAAATAGAAAAAATAAAGAGTGTAAATGAAAAAACAAAAACATTAATTGACAACTGCATAAAAGACAAATAGTATATAAAAGACAAACAAACAAGAAAGTAAAAACTGAAAAAGAAAAAAAGCAAAAAAAACTTCTATAACACCTGCCTACTTTAAGAGACTTTTATTATATAGTCGAAAAAGATGAAGAATTAATTAACATAAGCACCATAAGAAATTAAAACAAATTCCATGTGTTAGTAGGCAGAAATGAAAAATAGAATTCCATTACTTACCTCCAGCGGACTACATGATTTTAGGAAGCATCTTGAGACTCACCAATAATCCTTATCCTTAACCTTACAATATATAAAAGCTGTCGGCGCTTGAAGTTTCGTCCTTAAACATTTCGCCCCTTAGTGACTGGAACGAAACATTTCGTCTAAGTTTTTTTTTATTTTTATTTTTTATAACAATTGTGAGTCTTTCTTCTTTCCTTTTTTTATTTGTTTCTCTCCTTATATAATTTTATCTTTTTTTTCTTATTATATTCTTATTTCTTTTCCCTTCTTTCAAATATGATCCTCACAAATTTTTTTTTTCTAACTGTCCTATTGAAATAATTTTTTTCATTTACATCTCTACCTAAATTTTTAAAATTTTGAATACATTTTTTTACGTAGACCTAATAAATAATCATCAACAAATATATAAAAAAGAATCCCTTTTTAACTGATCTCCTCTGTGTCCCTGTGTGTGTGGTTTTTTTTTTTTTTTTTTTGGCCTTCTTTTACTTTTCCACATTAATTTTCAGTCATTGACATCTTTTCCGCCTTCTTTTTTTTTTCCTCCTCATTTTTCTACAACTTTCTATTGTTTTTTCACTCACCTTTATTTAATCTTATTATCATTTTAGTCCATCATTTTAATTTTTTTTTCTTTTTCTTTTTGTTGTTTTTGGATCCTCCTTTTTTCTTTACTTTTTTAGTCCCTTATTTTTTTCCTCACCCTTTATTTAATCTTATCATTTTTTTCACCACTATACCTATGTTTCTTTTTTTTTTCTTTTGCTTTTCTTCCTTTTATTTTTTTGGGATCCTCCTTTAGTCTCTTATTTTTATTTTTCTCTCACCCTCATTCATTTTATCATTGTTTTTCACCATTATGCATTCTTCTTTTTTTATGTTTCTTTTTTTTATTTTTTATATTTTTCTTCCTCTTGTTTTTTAGGTCCACCTTCCCCTTTTTATTTGCTTAGTTGGTCTCTCATTTTTTGTTTTTTTCACTCGCCCTTATTTAATCTTGTCATTTTCCCCCATTATGCATTCTTATTTATTTCTTTCCTTTAAATGTGATCCTCATAAATATTTTTCCCTAATTGTCCTGGTGAAGTGATTTCTTTGCATTAGTTGTGTATTAATTAATAACTAAGATTTCGGTAATAAAAAAAAAGTAGAAAAACAATAATCAAAACTTAATATAAGAGTGGAACTTATAAAATTATCCCCACGTGCATAGCACGTGGCTTCAACTAATATATGAAAAGAGGGAAATGAAATTTTCTAAATATAAGAACAAAAAAATTATATAAGTAGAAAACTATTAAAGAAAGGAAATTAAGTAGCTTAAACTGATGGGATAGATTACAAAATATTCAAGAAAGGGCACATTTGAAAACTAAAGTATTTTAGTCACATATTAAAAAAAACTAAGCAAATGAATAAGTTAAATTAGCAGTTTTAAAAAAGAGAGTGGGGGGTACTGTCTCCAATCATAGTCCCCTCATAGATCCGTGGCTGCATGGGGTAATTTTTTCTACAAAATTAACAGAGTGATGAGAAATTATACTAAATAGTAAATTTTTGAAACTAAATTAAGTAAATAGAATATTTTAAAACTATTTAAAGTAAATAGTAATTACGTAATAAATGAATTAAAAAAACTTATGTTGTAAAAAATCTTTAAAATCTTTATTTATGTAGAAAAAATTCTTTTTATCAGTCGTAAAAATAAATTTTACGTAAAAAAAATATTTTTACTGGTCGTAGATGAATCATTTACGCAGGGAATGATTCATTTACCACATAAACTGCTATTTATTTCAAATAGTTTTAAAATCTTCTCCTTTGAGTAATTTTTGTACCATTTCATAGTTTTGTTGATCATTACAATTTCATAGTTTTATTGATCATTACAATTTCATAGTTAGAGAGAAGGAAACATAGGGTCAGTTTGGCATTGCTATGCTGTTGAAAATTTATCTTGTTGCTGTGTCGTTAGTCAGAAGTTGCTGTAACCAGAAATATGTAGGTGTTTGGTAAATTTTTTTTCAAAGTTGGTTTGAATACCAAAAGTAGAAATTTAGATGTTTAGTGAACTATGTATAAAATTGTTGTGAAGATAAATAATGAATAAAATAGACATATTTTAACATATATTTATAATTAGTTTAATTTTTACTTTTATAGTCAATATTCATAATATTTATACACCAATATACTAAAAAATTTTAATTTTCAGTTTATTAATTAAAATATCTATAAAAAATAAATTAGTTTTATTCAAGGAGATAAATTATATATCTATAAAGAAATTAAATAACGTAAAGAATTGAAGGTAAATTATTTTTCAAACTTGTAAAATTATAATAAAAATATATTATTAAAATTTAGCACAAGATATTTATTTGAGATTTTTAATTTTTGAATAAACATTTAAAATAAAATATACTCTTTAATTTGATTTGGAAGAAATAAAATGAGCAAATTAAGAATTAAGTTTTATTATTATGGTCATTTTTGTAAATTTAGACAATGACAGCAGAAGCTGCTGTGGAAAAGCAACCCTTAACTTGCTTCTCAAATTCTATTGTGGGGCAATAACTTTTAGAAGCGGCTGGACAAAAAGTAAGTTTTGCCAAACATCTTTATCTGTTGTAGCTTCTTAAAAAAAGCTAAAAATAGTCTCCAAAAACAAAGCTAAACAGGCCCATACATTACGTTTTAAACTTCAAAAGTACATTGTTATAAGAACCAAAAGCTCGGCGAAATAGATAAAATTTGGCCTAAAGAAAATAACTTTTAAAACTTTGGGAGGCACATCTCCACAAAAACCTAAGCTCGGGTGGAAAATATGAAATTGTGTACGACAATAAAATAGTAAATTCATTTTCTTTGTTTGGAACTTTCTTTGGTGTTTCTTATATTTTGAGAACATCAGCGTTCCTTACTTATCAGCCATCAGATCAACATTAAATTTGATAAAAAATTAAATCATATTATAAAAGTAGTACAAATCCGACGACTAATAAACAGAAAACACGTGTTACTAAAAAAAAAGAGAACACCAGAAAAATTCTCTCTTTCTTTATCATATGCCAAATATATTTTATTCTCTTTGTAGTGATCTTCCTACTACACGAAGTGTATGTTATTTCTATCTTTTCTTTTCCGATTCCTTCTCTGTCTTAAGAAAATTCCTTTCATTTTCATTAATCTAAAGAAAATTTCTTGCATTTTCATTAATCTATCACAAATTAGTGTAAAAAGAAAATTACAGATTTTACCTCTTTAAATATATGACTTATTAAAAGTACCCCTTTAAAAAAAAAAAACTCTACTCCTTAATTAGTTCTAATCTAAAAGATAAAATATATAGTATAATATTAAGATGTATAAATAAATAAAAAATGCTTTTTTTCAAGAGGTATTTTTAAAAATTGTCCGTCAATAAATTACCTTTACTCATGTTTCCATCCTTCATTACGTGGACTAACAAAATGTTGAAGAATTAATAAAAAAGGAAAAGAAGGCGTGGACAATGCAGAATTCCTTCTTGTCTTCATGTCTCTTTGATATAAAGCGACTCAGTCAATGCAATGAGAGCGGCGAATGATTGCTATTCTTTTGCTGAATTTCATCAAGATCTTGATAAATGATGCTAATGGTGGTATTTGTAGTTATATTTCTCGTGTCAATAATGAAGCTGCCTAAAGATAAGTGAAGTTTTCTTTCTCTTTGAATGAAGATCGATTTTAATTACAAGAATATCCTAGTTGTATTGATTCTTTTATAAGTGTCGATATAGCTATTTTTTATTAATAAACTTCACTTCACCTTCAAAAAAAGTCACAAGATACCAAAGTGATTTTAAAATAAAAATAAAATAAAAGAACACCAAATTAAATTTTTCCCTAGTTATATTGTAATCAATTAGCATCTTTATGTACGATCTTCAAACATTTTAACTTGTTTCTTATGTTCCAGTTACCCTCTTAATACAAGTAGACAGAAATTATGTGTGTGCAATATGGAAGTGTAGTGACTTTAAGCAAAGGTCCTTCGTACAAGGCCAATTAATAGCCGCCCCATGAAAGGTGAAGCAAATCTTCTTCTTCTTTTTTTTTTTTTTTTTTTTTTGGAGATAATGCAAACCACTTGCTAGTACTTTCCATATGCAAGTATTGATTTTTTCACCTAACTTATGGACCATATGTATAGCAAGAACGGGGACCAATTTCGAATGTTTTCACATAGATTGATAACATCAACTAATTACCTTGAATACAAGAATAGGGACCATTTCAGTTATAATTAATTCATCCATATCCGGATAAAATTTAGAAATTTGTTTTTCCTTTGTAAAACTCCATAGCCAAGGCTTACTTATTGGTACCTTAAATGACTCAACTAAAGCATGAAGATTAAATACAATCGCCACTTACGCTGAACTTGAAAAAGTAAATGATTCCAACGAAAAAATGTGGCTTATCAAGCTTTCCAAAGATTCGTAAGAAGTACCACCCTTTTCCAAGCAATTGTTAGCCATCTCTTGTAACTTAGAAACTCTGCCTCTAATCTCATCTCCTTCTTTTTCCCTCATAAGTTCCGTAATTGTCTTCTCTATCGCTCCTCTTTCCAATCCATTTTCCAACTGCAAACCAACCTTCCAAACTTGGCTCACATATCTTGCATTCACCTTTTGGTCAGAGAAACAAGGCAGACAAATCATTGGCACTCCCTCACAAATGCTCTCCAATGTTGAATTCCATCCATTGTGAGTCCAAAATGCTCCAACGGCTTGGTGAGCCAAAACTTTTTGTTGGGGGGCCCATTTCACTATGTGGCCACGCCCACTCAAGTTCTCTAGGAACCCACTTGGCAACGCCTCGAGCCACTCCGATCTGAGGACCGAACCGGGTCGGACCACCCACAAGAAGGGGTGCTCACTATTGGCAAGGCCCCAAGCTATCTCCAAAAAATCTCTCACACTTGTTGCCGCAAGGCTACCAAAGCTCACATAGATGACAGATTTTAGTGGTTGAGTATTGAGCCAGGAAATTGAGGTTTGGTCTTCCGCTAACAAGCTACTTTTAGGAGAGGTACAAACTAGATTGTGCTTATGAAATGGACCTATTGGGAAGATTGGAAGAGAAAACTGTTGACTTATTGAGGCCAGAGAAGATTGTTCAAGGTCCTCAAAAGTGTTCCAAATGAGTCCTGAAGAGGCCTTTGTTGTATTGACCAGGTTGTCCACTAGTTGATAAAGTGTCTTCGGGTTGTGAGTGTTGATCACCGGAAGGTCTTTGACTTTGAGTGGTGGAAGTTCCACCACTTGATTTTCTAATCTGGATGCTAATTTATAAGAGGAAAAAAAATGAAATCGACAATTAGTTTACAAACGATCATTACAGTTTGAACTAATTAAGAAATCTTGCTATAATAACATGTTATAAAACATATATTAGCCTTATGAATCTATATCATATTAGATTAACGAGATCGACTATCAAATAATATTCTCCAAAACAGAAACTATTACTTCAAACAGATAGTGATCCAATTGTTCACACTTGGAAAACTTAAATATGTGTAAATAAGGATTCCTTCAATATATCCCACCAAGATCATCTTTTAAGTCAAGAGTTGGGCATATTAAGGACGTAGCTAAACCAAATTTCCCTTACCTAAATCGTGCGAAACAAATTATTAACAAGCTGAGAAGAGTAAGATATATAGATATACTAAAGAGCAAACCTTGTATGGGGAGGTAACCCTTTTCTCTTAGAAGTGGAAAAGCAGCAAAAACGACAAAAGATGAGGCACCCCCAGTTCTTAAAACGATCCTGGGAAGTTTGAGGCTGTCGGCAACGGCTTGAGTGAAGTGAAATATAGCGTCAGAGATCAAGCAAGAAACAGGCTCCTCCGAAACATCATTATCGGATACCAACTTTCTCAAACACTCCTTGAAGGGCTCAACACACTTGATGTTGAGAAGTGTGAGAAGAGAAACGACGTCGTTTGTGGAGGCCTGACTCTCCGATAGGCCATCTTGGATAAAGTGGAAAGTGAAGTGTGGGTAGTTTGAAGGGTTGGGAGAGTTGAAGTTGGTGTGGATGAGAGTGATAGAGAAGCCTTTGGAATGAAGAATGTTAGCAAGATCAAGCGTGGGGTTTATATGGCCTTGTAAGGGTAGTGGAAAGAGTACTAATCTACGCCCTTTTCTTTGCTCCATTATGATCTCTCAACTACACCTTACGACCTTCCTTTCTGGTTTAGATACTGGAGAGATAGACCCAGTCTTTTTCTTGTTCATCAGGGGACCTTTTTTCAATAGGTCAGTCAACTAGTAGGGTTAATTTTTTACCGTTATATTTAATCAAAATACATTAAATTAAATAAACATGCAGAATCAAAAGTTGAAAAAGTACAAAATTATCAGTAATTAATTTTTCCAATCCTATTAAAAAAACTCTCTTTTATTCTACGGTAGGATCTCATATTAGTTGTGTCTATTTATAATTATTAAAAATGATCAAAATCACATCAAATAAGAAAATATGTGAAATAAATAATTTTTTAAACATATCTGATAATTAAATATAAAAAATATTAAATAAATAGTGAGAAAAATAGTGAACTCACCATTTTAATACATTGTTTTAAGATTTTTACCTTTTACCCTTGATTAATATCATTTTAACTAATATAATTCTTTGACTAAAGGATATTAATCAACTGTAAATGATAAAAATTCAAGACTCATGCATTTTGAGAGGTATTTGTCTGCTTTTCCCACTAATAGTTTATTTTCCTAAGAGCATCTCTAAGAAAACGGTCTAAATTTTAGTATATGCCCTTTTCTCTTCGCATTTAAATCCCCCAATCTTTTCTTTTTGTTGCATTATTACTCTTTGCTAGGTTTCATCTAAATGCCCCACAAAACACCATTTGAAATACTCATAGAGATTTTGTTGCTTTTTTAATTTGGGCGTGGAGATTCAAACTCTATATTTTATGGTAAAATTTGGTGTGGATATATGGCTAGATTATGTTTGCAACTGCTACTTATCGAGATTTGAGAAGGCACGCAAAAAAAAACAAAAAACAAAACAAAAAATATTAGGATTCCCTCTTCTAGTGATACTAATTACTCAATAATATGATGATTCAAATTAGAAAACCATTTCTTTTCATAGGTGCACATGTTTGGTCTGCTGTACAGCCTTGATTCTAGCTCCTCCACACTCTCCTATTGCCGCTGCTCACGGGATTAATACAAGTTGATTTTCCAATGAGATCACTAATAAAAAAATGTGTTGAGAGGACAAAAGAGTTACACTGATCATAATTGTCTATTAAAATGAGGAACGAGACATTATTCTGTGGTTTTAACAATAAAATTGAGAGATGCTGGAATTTAGCTTTGAATTTGAAAGCTTGTTGATTGAATTTATTTTTATTTGGACGCTTGGATTTAATTTTATAGCTAGCATAGAGACTCTTAACGAAGCTTTCTTTTTTTTTTTTTTTTTAACGCTGGAGTCTTATATGTGTGTGTATGTGTATTTCTTCCAGGTTTCACACCTGTTACTTTGTTTATCTAAATAAACATTGATGGATGTAAATGGTTTCCACACTATTTGGGAGTTAAAAAAATATGAAGGATAAAATCATTTTAGTACCATGTATTATAACAAAACATATTTTTAATATCTTGAGTTTTTGATAATATTAAAATAGTACCTTGATATTTCTAAAAATATTTTCTCGGTACTCTGAAGCTAATTTTTAAGAGATATAATGTCCAAACTATTCTTCTTATCAATTAAATAGAAATCAATATTTTAAAAAAAATTGAAAATATTTTAAAACATTAAAATATTTAAAAGAAAACAACAACAAAAAAAAACCCATTATTTTTTTTCTAGATCTATCAGTTTTTGATTAATTAAATAGAATTGTACTAAGGTCATTTTACATCTCAAAAATCAACTTCAAGTACCAAAAAGATATTTTTTAAAAAGGTCGATGTGCTGTTTTAATATTATAAAAAAAAGGATATCAATAGTATGTTTTACTATAACACGGTTAACTTTCAAGTTGTTAGTTGTTACTTTGAAATTCTTCTATGGTTTTTCCGTGTTTTTTCTTATTTATTGGTTTTGTTGTAGTTTTTTTCTTGGTTGTTCTCCTTTTTCATTTGTTATTTTAAATTAATTCCATTGGAGATATTTTTAAAAAAAATCTTTGAATTTATAAGAGTTCCGTCGTTTTAAAATTTCTTTCGTGTGTTTAAGGATAAGCGTAAAAATGACCTTCTCAAAACATATTTTTAGTCAATATCTCTAGCTTTATAAAATTAAAAATTAATTTTTTAAAATAAGAATCAATCATTTATGTCATAGAAATTAATTAATAGCTTAAACATACACAGTAAACTACCGAGTGATTAGTCAATAATTAGCCAAGATCAATGAATAATTTATAAAAATCAATTTATTGAAAAAAGGTTCAATGAATAATTTATAAAAACATCAATTTATATAAAAAAAAAGGATGTTTTTTAATTTTTTAAAACTAAGATATCTATTTTTTTTTTTTTAATAAAGTGAGATATCTACTTATTAGCAAAAATAACTTAACTTACTCTAACTCAATTCATGCAAAACAACGCACCCTAAGATATCTACTTAAAATAGACTTTAAAAAAGACCATCCACTGCAAATTTTCTCTTTTTTCCTGGTTGTTTAGTAGGTAGTCATCCTTTTCGTTTGGGCTTTCGTTGCCTTTTATTTTTTAGAAATAGTAGAAAATAGGCCAATATGAAAAGTTTAAAAAAGTATATAGGTCAATTTTTAGTTATAGAAATTAATAAGCCATAACTTGTCAAGTTATGGTTCATAACCAGATAAGATATGGACAAACTTGTCAAGTTATGGTTCATAGTCAGACAAGTTATGGACAAAAACCGTCAATAACTTGTCAAGTTATGGTTCATAACCAGACAAGTTATGGACAAAAACAGTAATTTGGCCTATTTATTAACTTATGTAAACTATTGACCTATTATTTTTAATTCATCTCAAGTCTTGACCTATTTTCCTCTTTCTCCCTTTATTTTTTGGCAATATTTTAAGTCATGTTAGAACTTTAGGCTTTATATTGTGTTTACTATGCATTTATTTTATAGGTTCGAACAACTGTTTAAACATTTTTACTACAATGTTTTCTCTCCAACAAAATAGGCAATGCTCTCCAACGAAAAGGAGTGGAGAGAGAGGAATGTAAATGGGCATTTTAGTAATTACACCGTGAAAATGGGTCACATGGTTGGCACATGTGAGATTTTATCAGGTTTTTAAAGATTTAGACGGAAGTCCATTAATTGTCAATATTTAAAGAGTTGAGGGATTGTTTTGTCAAAATTAAAAAAAGAGGGATTAAAGTGTCGCCTACTAAAGAGTTAAGGGGCCATTAGTGCCAATTACTCTCTTTTTTTCATTATTTTAAGCTATGTTATGGCTTTAAACTTTCGTTGTTTTATTATGCGTTTGTTTTATAAGTTCGAACAACTGTTTAAACATTTTTAATACAATATTTTCTCTCACAAATTTTAAATTTATGTTCAAGCTTTTGTATTCAAATCTATGAACTAAACAGGTCCAATTTTCTTATCGTTCTATTATTTGTGCCATTTTTTCATTTTGAATTCTAATTTCTTCAATTTTTCTTTTATTTTTAGTTTTAGTTTTGATTACTGTTATGTATTTAATTCGGAGTTAATTTATTTATAAAAAAATTTTGAGTTATTATTACTATTTTTTTTTTTTTTTTTTGCTTGAAAAATTTGGAGTTAATTGACTGCAGATGTATTGGTCCATTAATGTTTTTCAAATAACATGGTAGCGATGTGATGTTTAAGTTAAAATACGGCACTAAAATGGAAAAAGCACTTTAAAGTTTCTTGTTGCTTAGAGCTATTGTCGTTTTTCACTTTCGTGTCGTTATTAATGTAGTTGTCGTCTTTGACCTTTCTACCGTCTGTATTTATGTTGCGTTTTATGTAATTGTCGCTTCTTTGTCCATATGTTTTTGTCGTTTTGTTTATTGTGTATGGTGTGGAAGGTGGAGATTTAGGTTTTTCTATGTATTCGTTTTTCAGTTAGATGGAAGTCATAGCTTTTTCCTCTCCTCCTCTTGAATGTGTATTTTAGTGTGAATCATGATTTGTTATCATATTTTCTTATCTCGTTGGCTATTTTTTCAATTATGTTTTTTAATTAAATTTTGCTACTTTATAAATTGTTTAAATATTTTCAATATTCAATACTTATTTATGTGATCAAATTGTTAAATTTAGATTATTGTTAATTTCATTATTATTTTTAAGATCAATATTCATAATATTTTTACACTAAAAAGACTAAAAAAATATATGACTTTTGATTTATTATTTAAAATATTTCTAAAATATAAATCATTAAATTTGTTATTTGTCGTTGTTACTTTTAAACATTTTGATAAGTATAAAAAATATTTTTGTAAAATCTAACGATAAATATTTTTAGTTTTTAAATAAATATTTAAGAATTTATATTTTTTTAATTTAGTATGAAAGACAAATGGATTGATAGAGAATTAAGATTTATTATTAAAGTTATTTTAATAAATTTAATAAAAGTATTTATGCAAAAACAACTCATAACATGTTTCTCAAAATTTATTATTTGACAATAATTTTTAAAAGCTATTAGACAAAAACAAGACTTACTAAATAACCTAATTTGTAGCTTCTTAAAAATAATAAAATAATAAAATAATAAAATAATAAAAAAACTAAAAAAACTAAAAGCAACATCTAAAAGCAATAAGGATCCTAATGTCAACACCTTTTAAATTTGTAAAAAAAAATGGTTGAAATTAAAAAAAAAAACAAGAAGCTAATTCTGTAATCTTCCAATAACTAACTTCCGGAACCACTCTAGATCTAAGCAATTTATTCCCCCCAGCCCTCTCTCTTGTCTCTCTCCTTCTCTTCTCTTTCTGCTCCTGTCGCTAACCATTCGCCGCCGTGGAGATCAAAGAGATCGGCGACATCACTCGTATCGCCGACAAACTCTCTCTCTCCATATCTTTTTCTCTCTCTTTCCGATCTACATTTTTCTTCTATGAAGCATGCACTATAGCTTGGGTTGTTAGAAATCACCAGCAAATTTCCACAACGGAGACGAGGGGCAACTCTGGAGCAAGGGTAGTGTCAGCGAGCAGCC